AGCCCAGCTCCAGGTCGAGCTGTTGTTCAGCATCTTAGCTGTAGAGGGCAGTGTCACTGGCCCTCATATGTGGGATCCGAACCGGGGCCCTCTGGTATCCCAAGCGAGTTCTTAACCATCGCGCCACTCGGCCGGCCCAACCTTTGGGTGTCTTTACTGCAAGGTTTGGGTGATCAGGGAGAGAGGACGGACCACACCAGGCGCCAGGCGAGGCTGGCTCCTTAAACATCAGGTCCTTTGCTCACTGGCCTGTCTCCCCAGGCTGAGGCTCTCTGCAGAGCCCATGGAGATGCCAGCATGAACCTGGAGGAGGGTGATCTCAGGGTCAGAAGCCGTGAGAACTGGGAGCCAGGGAGGATCAAGGAAATCATTCCAGGTTATAACTATGAAGTGCGGGGAATGTGGGAGGCCCACAGCCTGGCAGGGCTGGTGTCTCTTTTTAAAAAAATTTTATTGGGGAACGATGTGTTTTTCTAGGACCCATTAGCTCCAAGTCAAGTATTTGTTTCAATCTAGTTGTGGAGGGCGCATCTCACTGGCCCATGTGGGAATCGAACCGGCAACCTTGTTGTTATGAGTACTGTGCTCTAACCACCTGAGCTAACGGCCGCCCCAGGGCTGGTGTCTCTTGACCCAGGGACACTGGGCATGCCCGGGCAGGTGCCGCTCCAGGATGAGGAGGGGCTCAGTTATGGGGTCCAGCCTCCCCTCCAGTGTTTGACTCCAGCCCCAGCTTCATGACTGGCAACCCTGCAGCCGTGAGCACCTCAGCAGATGGGGAACGCAACACCTGGTTAGATACACCTGCAACTTTCTTCGGGAGAGTGAAAAAAACTGGAAAACACCTACGTGCATATCAATAGGGTCTTGAATATTAATTATTTTCACAAACAACTGTCAGGAAAAAAAAGGAGTGAAATCCATGTGTACTGATATAGAAAGATGTTGGTAATGTATGGGTGCATTAAAGAAATCAGGGTACAAAAGAGTATGTTTAATTTGAGGCCATTTATATAAAAAAATGAATTCTGAAAAGATAGGCATGAAACTACTAACAATGGACTTATAATTACTGGGGAGGCTTTTGCTGTCTTTATGGAGCTGGATTTTTTTTTTTTTTGAGCAAACCTGTGCTATTAGGAAAATAACAAAGTTTTTTTTTTCCACTAAAAGACAAAAAACAGGGGAGGGGAACATCCTCTCTTATACTGAACCTAGAGCATCAACTCTCAGGCTCTGCCATCTGGGGCCCCCCAGGCCACAGAAGGTATTTGTAAACCGGAGCTGTGTTCAGAGTTTGCCCCCCGCCCCCCAGCACAGGTCTGGTCACTTAGTAGGAACAGCATGGACAATCGTGGGTGGCATTTGGCCAACACCTGTTGTTTTCTAACTCTAGTGTGAGCTCGTCTCCCTACTGGACTGGAAGTTCTCTGCAGGCAGAGACTAGGAAGTGGACCTACTGTCCTCCACACAGCATCTGGTGCAAACCACACACAGTAGGACCTCAGGAAATCCCTGTTGAGTGAATGAATGAGTACCCGGAAGGGACCAAAATCACCCGGGCATGGGCACTTCTCCCCCTAAGGCCACTTCTGGCATTGCTGGCTTGTCACTCACCACCTTCGCTGTGTCTGCTCGCACCTCTGGACACGCCTGGCCATGTAACTAGGAATAAGAAGCGATGGAGAGACTCAATAAACAGGGGCAGGGCCGTTCCTTGGAGAGGGTGGAGACTTCCTTGCATGAGAGCAAAGAGGGTGGCCGTGGAGAGAAAAGCAAGGGGAAGGAGAGGTAACAGGATGCTGAGGGCGCTGGATCTCTTTTGGGGAAGCACGGAGAGTGAGACACGAAGCAAGAGAGGTTTCAGGACAGCTGTGGGCAGCAAGGGATGGAGGAAAGATGTCAGCATGTGTGGCCACAAGTGCGGGGCGGGGCATGCTTTCGGTCTTAGGAGATGCAGCAATTGAAGTGGTGCCTACGTCAGGGGACCAGACTGTGTTTCTCTAAGGGTGATGCACATTTGGACCGGACCCCACAGAGCTCTGGGATTGATGTGGGTGACAAATGGCCGAGTGCAAGGTGGGCACATGGCCCCGCCCACTCCCTGGCCCATCATCAGTGTGGTGGGGGTGAGGGTCTCGGTGTGGAGCCATGTCAGAGCGCCTGCAGCTGTCCTGCTGTGACCCTGCCAGGCTCTGCTCCATGTTCACCACCCCCTGCCACCCCGGCCAGGCCAGTACTGGCAACCCCCTCTGAACTGCAGGGATGTTGCGATGCCAGAGGAGAAGGGGGCTGCTCCTGAGAGACTCACAGTTGCTGGTGGGAACAGTCACTGTGCCAGGTCACAGAGGTCCAGGGCTTTGTGTATATGTAGCAATGACATTAGGGTGCGTTTTACTTTAGTCAAGCAGAGTGACACAGCTAATAAAAGCATTGCCCCCAAATCAGAAAATAGAAGTTGGGAAAGAAGGTTCTAGATTTCATCCACGATATTCGCATTACCTAGGGCTAGTCACCATTAGGCTTTGAGGTGTATATTCAGCCAAATAATTGTGTGTGCATCTCAGAGCACCGTTTTCAAACAAATCTAACTGTACACATTCTGTTGTAACCTACCATTTGCACATAACTGACCGTCTTTTTGTGAGAGCACGTGGGTTTACGTCCCTGTTCTGTCTCTGATTCATTAGCTGTGTGACACCGGGTCAGTCACACTGCCTTCCGATGCCTCGGTTTCTTCATCAATACAGTGGAAAAAAGGACACCCATCTCCTAGGGTGGTGGAAAGGGTCTCAGGGGCAAAGTGGCTTCACAAATGCTCTCGGTGGGTGGGGGTGGGGTGGGGGTAGCGCCTTCTCCAGACCCTGGGTCTCTGCTGGCTCAGCCTGCTCTTTCTGACACAGGCTGTCGGGTTCTTTTCTTTCCAGGCTCGAGAAGGGGGACGGGCACGAGGAGGAGCTCCGCTTAGATTGCCGCCATGAGAGACACCCTGCCCGTAAGTGGCCTCATCTGCAGGACCCTGTGCGACAGATTCTGGGCCGTCTGAGGAGAAAGACCCTGGAGACGATCCAGGCCAACCTCTCCCCGCGCCCCTGCTTTCTCCTACAGACACGCACGACACCTGGGGAAACCGAGGCTGGTTTCTTGGCGAAGCGTGTTCTCTGCATGCACAGCCCTCACATTCAGGGTCGGAATGCCAAGAAAGCATGAGGGAGACGACTGCAGGGCGTAAAGACAGGCAGGCAGCCACAGCTCGCATGCAGGTCTGGGCTAGCCGCTGGCCTCGAAGGAGAACAGCAGCTGGGTTTGAACTAGCCAGGCTGCTTCACTGACCCTAACAGCAAGCCCTAATGTGGGGATCCCAGCAACAGGATCTAGGGCACTCATCAGGAGGACAAAGGCCTGGCCAGCAGGCAAGGGGGAGGTACAAACAGAGCAGGGCTTTGCTCCAGACAAAAAGAGGAAGAACCGATGTGAGAGGCAAGTAAAAATGCAGAACCTCAGCGGAGCTGGCTGAATTCCCACCACGGGCCCCCGGCCCCACGCCCCTACTAAGGGCTTTTTTCTTGGCTGATCTTGCATGCTTGCCGACTCCCAGCCCCTACAGAAATTGCTATCCATAGTTTTCAGATGAGGAAATTAAGGCTCAGAGAGGTGGAGTGACATGCCCAAGGCCACACAACTCAGCAACGCTCCCCACCCCTAGATTGGGAAGTCACTGGATGTGAGTTTTGCACAGACCCCTGTAGGATTAGACTCAGGCGTTACCAGGGTTAGCAGCCCATCCTGGGTCCACCACCTTGTTCCCTGGGCCACTTTCCTTCTCCCCTTAAGATCTCCCCTACACTCGAATGCCTACCTCAGGGACTTCTTCTGGGGAGACCCAAAGTAAGACAGTGGAGGTTGAAACCCAGGCCTGTCTACCTCCTGTGATCCTAGTCACTAAGTGAGAAATGGCTCTGACTGAAGGGAGAAGACGGAGGTGGGTGAGGAGCTTGGGAGGCCTGGTGGGAGAAGAGGGGAGGGTCTGGCCTTTCAAAGGAGAGAGAGACTTGCGTAGGAGGCACCAGCCTGGGAAGGTGACCTGCCTGGGTACTGGCGGCCCTGACCTCACGCTGTTCTCACACACCAGTGGTTTCATGACAGGCATCTGTGCAAGGGTGGAGGACTTCCTGGAGGAAGGGGTCAAGAATCAGGGCATGGGGGCAGCTGGGGAGCACCCACCTCAGGGATAACAGAAGGAGCAGAAATCTACCAGAGGGGCTCAGGAAGCACATAGTAGGGACAACAGCTGAGAGCCCCTGGCTCCCCCTGCAGGGTGGGCAGGAAACCCAGGAGGAAAGAGGCTGGGGGGTCTTGTCTTGGGGGCATCTGGGGAGCTGGGAGGAGGGAAGGCTAAATCCCTGAGACCTGAGGCTGAAAGAAAGGGGACACCCTAACACAGTCTGGCCCTAGAAGCAAGCCCTGGAATTGAGGATGAGGACGCCCAGGGCCGAGGGAGCTGCCGAAGCCTTCCACCCCCAACCCTGCCCACAGCCTCACCCCTGGCCTGGAACCTACTTCCCCCCGGAAGCACGGAAGGATCCTCAGATGTATTTGCTAGGTCAATAGCCTGTGAGAATTCTACCTTTCATGGCTTCCATAAACGTTGATTATCTACTCCGTGCTGGCCCCAGGCTCCGCCAGACCAAGGCCCCTGCCTGCCGGTGGGGCTGGCAGCCTAGGGGGAGAGAATGAAGTACAAGTGAACTCAGAAATGAACTCAGAAATGAGACCCCTCAGGGGCTAAGGAGGGAACCATGATGGTGAAGAGGAAGCAGGGGAATCCTTTAGAGCTGGGGCCTCAATGATGACAAGGAGTCAGCCCGATAAAGAACCTCCCAGGTAGTGGGGCCCACAGGTGCAGGAACAGCTGGGACTGGAGGCCGGTGTGGCTGGCAGAGCTCTGGAGAGGGGGAGCAGAGGGGCTGGAGGGGAGCAGGGGCCGCCATGAGAAGGGGGGGCTGTGCAGTGGGGGGCCGGGGCCTTTTGAGCTGGGAAGAGACACATCCAAATTATTTATCTAATTAATTATACATCTATATACCTGTGTTTATGTATTCATCGATGTATTATATTTCTATCCATATCCCTCCCTCCCTCTGCAATGTGGGGAAAGGATGGGGGCCACTGGAGGTAAAGTGGGCAGATTCAAGAACTCTTTGCTAGAACTCTCAGCGTCTCAGTTTGGTTCCCCCCAGAAGCAGGTCCTGAGATGAGGATTCAACAGCAAGTAGCTTATTTGTGTGACCCCAGAAAACCCAGGTAGGAGCAGGAGGGTGGCTAATCGGGGAGAGGCGGTTGGTGGTGAAAGCACCTCGCCCAGCACCCAGCGGTCACCCTGGCCCCTGAGGGGGACTCGGGCAGCACACAGTGTGAGTCATCCCCCCAGACAGGACTGTGACTCTCCTCTGTCATTGTTTGAGGGCTGCTGGGGTGGGGAGGGTGCATGATGGGGGTGGGGAGGGCAGAGCCTGATGCAGTTGGAGGTCAGCAGTGTGCTCCATTTTGCCGGTGGGGGGTGCTTTGGGGAGGACGAGTTTGTGGGGCGATGGTGCTTTGTCTGCATCAAGTCTGAGGGGTGTGTAGAGTTGGGGGTGCAGCAAGCACTGCTGAGATCCTCCAGGGAGAATGCGTGTGGCGGGGGAGAGACCAGAAGCAATGAGGTCCGAACTCCCTGGGGCTCCCAGAGCGGCTGTGGAAGGAAGGCAGGCGTTGGGGGAGGGGCAGCAGGAAGCTGTCACCTGCCCCCAGAGGCTCCCCAGTCCAGCTTCTCCGGGAAGGAAAACCTCTGAGCCCACAGTGGCTCTGCCAGATGTGCCTTTTATCAGGAAGATGAACTAGCGGGGGATCGCCTGTCTTTCCCAGGGGACCAGCCCCGGTGCCCTGGTCGCAGAGTTAAACGAACAAGGAAGAAAAAGGCCCTGTCTGCTGCCAGAGCTGAGGGGGGACTGTTCCCAGGGTGGGCTAAATACCTGTGGAAGAGCTCTGGTGGCTTTAATGACCCCGAGGTGAGCTGCTTCTGTGGCCACAGGGAAGTCATTTGTTCATTCACTTATTCAACAACTCTTTCCTGAAGATGCCTCCCAGGTGGCACCCCGTGCTGTACAGTGTGGCCAGAGCTACCCCAGGGTCAGTGCAGATGCCTTCTCCAGCCTGGGGTGAGAGTGGGGGACAGGAGGGGCGCAGGGCAGGGTCCTTAGCCAAGGGTGATCCACGCTGGTAGAATTCTGCAGCTGTAATGATGATACCTGGCCTTGATGGTGAAAATAACTCACAGTAAGAACTCAGCCCCACCCAGTGTAATATGAATAGTATCCCAGCCTCTGGTATGTTCTGAGGACTTCACATGTACCCACTCATTCAATCCTACAGCCCCATTTTACAGACAGGAAAAGCGAGGCCCAGGGAGGTTCCGGCTGTGCCAGGAAGTGGCAGAGCCGGGATTTGCACCCGGCACGTCTGACTCCAGAGCCCAAACCCTGAGCCACTAGGGTGAGCTACCGCATGGCTCTCGGTGGCTCCATGTGCTGGGCACACGCCACCTGCTGGGCCTGGGCAGCATGAGGATTTGGGGCGCAGCCACGCGTGAGCTTGGTCCTCCCAGAGCCCGTGGACTGGAAAAGCAGCCCGACCCGTCCGTCCAGGGAAACGAAGCCATCTCCAGAAGGCAACCTCTTAACTGCTAGTGGGGTTTTGGCCAAGAAAATATTTTGGAAATGCTTGGACGAGTTTTGCAATATTTCTGCACCAAGCAGCTGCTCAGATTTTGTGGTGGGCTGACTTCTCGGGCACAAGGGAGTGGGGAGGAGGAATGCCAGGGTGCCCACGTCATTAAATGCTTACTTGTGTGCAGGTCCCTGCTAAGCACTTCACAGCCTTCTCATGCTATGGCTGGTGCAGCCCTCAGAAGAAGCGAGGATGGTTGTGCTTGTGCAGAGGGAGAAACTAAAGCGCAGAAAGGCAAATGGACTTGGCTGAGATCTCTGGTCCCCTGAGGGACACAGCTCAGCTTGGCAGGAGGGTCTTTCCACTTCCCCTGGGAACAAGGCCCTTCCGCTCTGGCCCCTGCACCCTGACCCCATTCCTTTCACTCTCCCCTGCTTCATTCACACCCTGGCCTGGCTCTTTCTCCAACATACAAAACTGTCCCTTCTCTGAGCCTTTGTGCTTGCTGTTCCCTCTGCCTGCAATGCTCTCCCTTTAAACCTTTGCACGACTGGCTTTGTCTCATCTTTAGGTTTCAGCCTGACGGCCACTTCCCCGGAGCTGTACTAGCTCCCTCAGCTGCCCTCAATCACCTTGTTTTCTGTCCTTCGTAGCGTCCACCCCTCTCTGAAATTACCTATTTATGTACTTGATTTTTATGTGGTTGCCTCCCTCCACTAAGTTCCATGAGAACAGTCACCTTTCTTATTTGGTTTGCGTCTGTATCTGGGAGCCCGGCACACAGTAGGTACTCAATGGCTGGCTCTCAACCTCCAATTTTCTCCCGCTATTTCCCACCTGAGTGGCCACTTTTACAGAAACAGGTGTATGAACTTCTGGCTGTCGTCACCGCTCCACACGTGCTGTTTTTTTTTTTTTTCCCTTGGGCTACTGCACTAAGGATTCTGCCACAATTTCTCTTTCCTGAGGAAAGAGTTTGCTTTTGAAACCTGCCTTTGGGGGCTCTGCAGTGCCGCCTGCTAGCTCAGAAGTGCATCAGAGGTGACATTTGATGGAGATGATGCTGCCATATGGTCCAGGTGTCTGCCTCTTCCTTTTGGGGGCAACTGGGGCTTGCGGCTGATTGCAGCTGTCAAGTTCAATGCCCAAGACAAGCTTTTGATGTTGCCAGGGGTGTCTGGAAGATTGGGCTGGGTGAGAGGCTGTCACTTGCCAGGTACAGAGGTGGCTGCTGGGAGCTCCATCTAGACGGGTCTCTGCATCTGCTGCCTTCAGAATAGCAGGGGGAATTGCCAGGAAGACTTTTCTGGGCTCAGAGCAACTTGGCATTTTTATTAGATCAAAATCAAATCCAATATAGTCCTCCTCGAGTCTGCTTCCTTTATTAAAATGGAAACAGATACTATTTCTGAAATAAGTGTCGATGCCGCCTTGCTGGGCACCCAGACGGGCTTGCAGCTGGGACACACCTGAGACCCTGGCATGGGGTTTGAGAGCCCCAAGCCAACGTCAGCCTCAGAATCACCTGGGAGGCTCCTTAACAGGTGAATTGCAGGGCCCACCCCTGAGTTTCTTTTTCTTTTTTTTTTAAAGATTTTATTGGGGAATTTGGGGAGGGGAATAGTGTTGGGGAATTGGGGAAGGGGAACATTGTGTTTTTCCAGGACCCATCAGCTCCAAGTCAAGTTGTTGTCCTTCAATCTTAGTTGTGGAGGGCACAGCTCAGCTCCAAGTCCAATCTTAGTTGCGGGGGGCGGGTAGAGGGGGGCGCAGCCCACCATCCCATGCGGGAGTCAAACCAGCAACCTTGTTGTTAAGAGCACGTGCTCTCACCAGCTCAGCGGCAGCTCAGCTCAGGCGCAGCTCACTGGCCCATGTGGGAATTGAACCAGCAACAGCTCGCGCTATAACCAATCAAGCCACCTGGCTGGCCCTGAGTTTCTGACTCAGGACGGCTGGGCGGGGCCTGAAATTCTGCATGTCTAGCTAGTTCCCAGAGGTTTCTGCTGCTCCACTGACCAAATTCTGAAGCTGCTGCCAGGAGCGAGCCTGCGTTTGTCCCTTTTCTGGACACGTCCGCAGCCTCCGGATGGAAACTGCTGTTTCTAGGGCCAGTTCCCCCCATAATCCATCCTCCTAAGATGCAAACCTGATCCTGTCTCCCCACCCCAGTGGGCATCACAGGCTTTCCCTGGCCAGCTCCACCCAGCTTCACTTCTCTTTCAGTCACTCCTCCTTCTTTGCTAACTCGTCCCCCACCACCACCACTAAAATGGCAATGTCAGGAGGACAGGGACGTTGTGGTCACGTGCCTGTGGCGGCCCCAGCGCCTGGCACTTAGTTGGGCACCAGCACCTTGCCAGTGACTGATTCAGCTCGCTTAGTCTCAGCGGATGTTGCTCTGAGTGTTTCCATTTTACAGGTGAGGATCCTTGGGTTTCCAGAAACAGTCGTTTGTCTTGGGTCACAAGTCTGGGTGACTCCAAACTAAAGCCACACCCTTGTTGTTCTTACGCCTGGTTATGCTAATCACACCTGATTCTAAGAAATGCTTGGGAACAGCTGTTAAAATACAGAGTTCCCTGGAGATCCCAATGCCTTAGTTTGGGGCAGGCCAGGAATCTCATCAAGTAAAGCAGAACCCCCAGGGACAGAGATCCCCACCCCCACCCCTGGGAGGCCTGCTGGGCTTTACACCCAGCAACTTTTGCAACCGCACCCCTCCACTCCTCACCCCAACACCTCACCCAGCCAGCCACCTGTGCCCTGCTTTCTAGGCCTTCCTGCTTTCCTCCCAATACCAACATTGTCAGGTGTTTCACACCTCCTGGAGACCTCATCTACCTGCCAAGAAACTATTTCACACCCTGTTCCTTCTGCCTGAAATGACCTGCTTGCGTCCTCCC